GGGGAAAAATGGATTGAGTGCGGAGGCGAAAAGTCTTGTAATTGGAAGTGAGAGGAGGAGGAGAAGGGGGTGGAGGGGTGCGAAGGGTTGAGAATTCCCTGGGGATCCTCTGACCGTCCCCCTCCCCTTCTCTTCTCTCGTCATCATGCCCGCCGGCTATTTCTGGATTTCCGTAACGGAGTAGCCGCACCGGAAATAGATCCAATGCAGATTTTAGCTGGATATCTTGGAAAAGTTTAATTTGCGGATTTAAAGGGATTGGCAAGGACGGGTTATGGATTTCTGGATCTTGAATCGGCCGCGACACGCACGTATTCAGATTTTAAAAACGAAGCTAAGCTCCCTAAGCTGCCTGGCCATCAATTTTTATGGCTAAAGATTAGCTAGATATTTCGACTAAATCGCAACACGCAGCGCGCACGCCCGTCATTCCATCGCACAACACAGCACAACATTCTCGTGTCCGCGTAGCGAGCCGTACGCGTTAGGCACCGCGTACGGCGTACCCAAATCTTTAGCAACTCCATAGTCAATCCCGAATTTTGGGATTTCTAGAAAAATACCGTATTCCCGACAAAACACAGAATGGAGAGTGGAATAAAATGAACTTTCTGGCAAATTGAATGACCAGATGGAGGCAGGTGGTTTTATCAAAATAAATCCTAAAATTCTGACGCACTAATGGGATACAGTGAACTGTGGGCAGTGTTTTCGAAAATATGAACGGGGTTTTGTGTGATTTGGGGTTGGTGGTCGGAGATCACTAGGGTTCTCTCTCTCTCTCGCTCTCTCTCTCTCTCTCTCTCTCTCTCTCTCTCTTTATCTCTCGCTCTCTCTCTCTTGCTCTCTCTCTATATCTCTCTAATTCTCTCTATCTCTCTCACTCTCTCTCTCTCTCTCTTTTTCGATCTCATGTCTCTCTCTCCCCCGCTCATTCGCTCTTTCTCCTCTCCTCTTGTAAGAAATTTGTTAAGAGATCTACGTCTATCGAATACCTACGGTAATTGTTATCAGGTGAAAAACGTCAACAAACGGTTACTGTAGCCGTAAATAGGCGGAGAGTATTATTTTCTCGAGTTCTCGCCAATGCTAAGGGGCTAGATGACGAGTGACGAGATGTCTAAATTGGCCTCATCACCCCCGTCTCTCTCTCTCTCTCTCTCTCTCTCTCTCTCTCTCCCCTCTTCCACAATGAGAATGGAAGCCCTTAAAATAGCTGGTCCAAATGGGAGCTAAAAGTTGCAGCTCTCCCACCCGTCCACTCGACCCAATTACCATAAGCGTTGCTCATTATCCAGCGCGTGACCCGTTGCGCTCAAAATTGGGCCGTTGACCCTTAAAGCTATTTAACCACCCAAAATGTCGAGCTATTTTGGGGAAAGGTCAGGGAGTATTGGAGTTTGTAGTTAAGCTTTGGCGATGCTCTACATTTGAGCATTCATGGATAACCCCCGGGTATTTGACTAGTCCGTAGCGCGTTCGTATTTTACTCTCGAATTTTAAAAACTTTTTGAAAATTTTCGCTTTTTTAAAAATCTGCCATTTTTGGTCGAAAATCGATATTTATTTTTATTTTTTTTTGCAAAAAAAACTGGTAAAGTTTTTACGTTTAAGATTGTAAAAAAAGCCGCTAACTAAGTTAAGCTAAGTAAGAGCCACTTCCGTTATTTATCTTTCAGATTTCCCGTGGCTTGTCGTGACTGCGGCAAAATTTAAGGGCAAAAATCTATAGTCCTGGCTTGACCTGTCCTTTAAACTCACGAATTCATTTTTAAGGCGATCTATCGAATTTGTAGTTCGTCGTCCAAAAAAAAAGAGAGCCGAAATAACTTTATTCTCGAAGGAAAGCAGGGTTCCTGTGATGGTTCTATTGGACGAGGAGGGTGAGACGATCGGGCGATGTGGCGAGGAAGGGGAGACGGAAACGGGAAGAATATGGGAACATTCCACCACCGCCTAGCATTGGAATTGAACGGACTGGACGCTCTTCTAGCCAGATGGAGAGGGATACGGTAGCCAGATAGGTGATGCAGAGGAGGATACTGAAATTAGAGATGGTTGGATGGAATAGAACGTCGGCTTAGCCTGGGCTTGGGCATTCGCTTAGCTTAAATTGGGCTTAGGCTTAGGCTTAACTTAGGCTTAGCTTAGGCTTGGCTTAGGCTTAACTTAGGCTTGGCTTAGGCTTAGCTTAGGCTTGGCTTAGGATTGGCTTAGGCTTGGCTTAGGCTTAGCTTAGGCTTAGCTTAGGCTTGGCTTAGGCTGAGCTTAGGCTTGGCTTAGGCTTAGCTTAGGCTTGGCTTAGGCTTAGCTTAGGCTTGGCTTAGGATTGGCTTAGGCTTGGCTTAGGCTTGGCTTAGGCTTGGCTTAGGCTTGGCTTAGGCTTGGCTTAGGCTTGGCTTAGGCGGCTTAGGCGGCTTAGGCCATGTCTCTTCTCTCTCTCTCTCTCTCTCTCTCCTCTCTCTCTCTCTCTCTCTCCCTCTTTTTTCCCGCTCCAAAAGGTCATTCCATCAGAATTGTAGCCCCCACCCAGGTGAACCCAAATAAAAATATTTGCCACCCCCTCACGTCGACGAGCTGTACGAAAACAGGTGAGAAATTGATGCGTAGCTAGTTGACCTAAGCAACCTACGCAATATTAGCACTTTTTGATGTTCAACAATCACTGGGGTGTTGATTAAAGGAGCGAGCAATGCATGGCCACGCTCAATAAAACCCATATCTCTTTAAATCCATATTTAAAAACTCACATCGTGAAGCAACGCGTCATTCCTGTGGACGCGATCTGTGGGGGGCCCGAGTTCTCTGAACAATTCGCGTATATCGAGCGTTATTAGGGTCGTGGAAAATTACGTAGAAAAGCGTGGGATTGACCGGAAATGAATGGGATTTTTGGGGTGAGGGTGAGAGAATGAGAGAGTGAGAAAGTGAGAGATAGAGAGAGAAAAAGATATTCTCGAATTCAGCTTTCATGCGTTCCTCAATTTTGATAAATTAGCAATTAAACATGGAGATGGCGGTGATTTTGCAAAAAGCTGGAGCAGGAACACTTCCGGAATTTTGGATTAGGGAGATATAGAGAGAGAGAGAGAGAGAGAGAGAGAGAGAGTGAGAGAGAGAGGAGAGAGAGAGAGAAATAGAGCGTGAACGGGCTAGAGAAAGTGAGACATAATGAGAGAAAGAGAGACAGAGTGAGTGAGGACAAGCGAGAGCGAGAGAGAGACAGAGAGACAGAGAGAGAGAGAGAGAGAGAGAGAGAGAGAGAGAGAGAGAGAGAGAGAGAGAGAGAGAGAGAATGATTGAGCACGAGCGAGCAACCACAAAAAACGCAAACTTATATCGCAACCTTCCAGATATTTTAAAGGGACTGGAAAGGCAACTCGCCCATTTTTTGCTATCGGTCCCTTTAAACGCGTATAGGGACCAAATTTTCGTCTATTACTGTGTAATACCCTCCAAATGCCATTCCCAAACAATTCGATGCTTTATTGTCTTACGAAAGGAAAACGAAAACTCTCAGCGGGATTAGATTGTCTGGAGGTGGAGTGAGTATGGGGGCGGAATGGGACTCCTTTTTTCGGGGGTTTTGAGAACAGATTTGGGTACGAGAGAGGGGGAATAGACACAAAAGCACTGTCGGAAAAGCCAGGTGAAGCCGTTGGGGGAGGGTTTGGAAAACAGGTGGGGAAATTCGGATGCTGGGAAAGCGGGGTTAATGTTCAAAAATCGAGACAAAAAATGTGGTAGTTTTAAGGGGATTGTGCCAGGAAGAGAGAGCAAGCGAGAGAGAGAGAGAGAGAGAGAGGTTGACAACCTTCCTGTCACGCTCCCTTTAAAATCGACAATTACCAAGGAAACCGGAAATGGGGTGGCGTAAATGGGGGGCGAGATCTGAATGTGGGAGAGTAGATTAGGCCATTTAAATTGGATGCCCAAATTAAAGGGGTGTGGAAGTGGCACCGGATGGCACTTCCCTAAACATTTAATTGCCTTTTGTTTTAGGTAAAAAAACGCGTTAAGTACATTACGATGCCGATTACACATGGTTACTGTAGGGGGAAATTGGTACTGGACTCTTAGCAGGGGGGAGATAATTTCCATTTTTCTACCGATTTATTAATAGCATATAAAGTTTTTAAAGTACTTTGAGTGGTTTTTGATCGATAGGAAGTTATAAACTATTTGAAAATTGGTGTTTTCATGTTGTCTTTTCCTAACATTCTTACCAACTTTTCGTATCTAAAAATGGTGCAAAATGCCATGAAATGGGTTATAATTCCTTATGGGGCCGGAAAAAATTGTATCCCCCCCGCTAAGAGACCTGTACCAAAAATGGCGGGAAATTAGGATATTCTTCCTCAGGTTACGGTATTGGGAATCTTAAATCGTGCGAAGACCGGGTTTACACAATGCATACATAACACAAAACATGCAAAAATGACAAAAACAAACGCGAAATACAGTAATCGAATCAACGGCGGAAAAGCTCAAGCGGATGAGGGGCCAATTTTGGAGCCGCGGGGGGTTTTTTGGACTCCCAGGGGGGAAGAAGCGGCTGGGATTGGCCCTCAGAATTTGGAATGGAATCACGAGGCGATGGGGGGAATCGTCGTGCCGTTTTCCCCAGCGAAATTTGGTGTCAAACGGAATGGGTGGAAAGGGGGGAGGGATGGGGGGAAATGTCAACAAGTTGTCGAGCGGAATTTAGGGAAAATTAGGAAAAGTGGCAATAATGTTTCGGCAATCCGAGCGTCGAAAACGACTTTTTCGAAAATCGCCGTTTCAGAAATTTCTTTTTAAAAATCAGAATTTCGTAAAATACGCTTGGTTCTCCGATCGTTAACTGGATCCCAATTTTTCGAAAATCTGCATTTTAAAAGACGGATTTTCAAAAAGCTGAATTTCGAAAAACGACTTTGCGAGATATTTCGACAAATGATTTTCGAAAAATTTTCGTTTCGACACCGTACGTTTCGATAAATTGTCAATAAAAATCATCAAAAAACGTGGCACTCATTTGCATCCTCCCGAATCGGACATCCGAACGATCGGGCAAAGTCCGGCTGATTCCGCAACGGGCCGAGAACGCTGAACAAATTGAATTTGTGGGGTTTGGTGGTTGGGGTGAAGCCGGGGGCGTCTTGGATTTATGAGGCTCTTGGGGGACCGTTGGCTCAAGGGAGGATGAGAAATCGTGCTCAAAATGACGTATTTTTGGCAAAATATCCCCGGAATCCCAAAGCGTCTCCGCTAGCTTGCCGGTCTTAAAAAATGTGCAAAAATTTTTGCAAAGTCACTGCTAGTCTGCCAAGCGCCCCAAAAATTCCTCAATGCTTCGCGCTAACCTACCAGTCGCGCGATACCCTCCAAGCATCTTTGCTAGCTTGCCCAAGTGGTCCTCAAATTCCCCAAACGCAATTCCTAATCCCTAAATCACAACTGTCCTACCGTAATCTCTCCTTCTCGTGCGCATTCAACGTTGCCGGATCCAGGACGGAGCACCAGTTCTGGGCATAGCCAATCCAAAAGGCTTGCGAGACCGAGACGCCAAGACCGGGCACCAGCTCCCCTTTCAGCTCGTTCGACCGCTCGAATGCCTGGAAAACGGGTGAGAACGACTGGTTAAAGGGACGTGGAAGGCATGCAACGGCAAGGATCACCATGGATTTTACCCCTAGTACGCGACACACGCGCAGGTTTTTCACTTCCCAGCCCCTCTAAAAACCACAAAGCACATACCATCCACGCGGCTTGCAACCCCAGATTGTCGGCCATGTTCTCGGTGAGCGTTTGCCGGGAGTTTGCAATCTAAAAGAGGTTCAATAGTAGTGTCACGCTCCCCTTAAAACCCACATCAGCCTCCTGGCCTCCCTTCATCTCCCCGTATTGTTGCACAAAGCATTCCCCGCTTTCCGTGTATTTTTTCGTGGATTCTTGGGTCCAGTATTTGCCGAGACTTCCGGTTGTTCCGTACCAACGGCCTAAAAAAAGGGAAATCTCTTTCTCTCTCTCGCTCTGTCTCTGCCTCTGTCTCTCTCTCTCTCTCTCTCTCTCTCTCTCTCGCTCTGTCTCTGACTCTGTATCTCTCTCTCTCTCTCTCTGTCATTCTCGCTCTTTATTTCTCTGTGTCTCTCTTTCGCTTTCTCTCTATCTCTCTATCTCTCTTTCTCTCTATCTCTCTATCTCCCTCTCACCCAGGATTTGGAAATAAATCTTGCAACACCTTGTGGCGTCACTTTCCCTTCTACAGAGCCATCTAATTAAACGTATGTGGAAGCGAGAGAGCGAGAGAGAGAGATCGCTCGAATTCCACCCAAACAGCTCCCTAATTAAAATCGCGAGTCTGAATGGGGCAAGGAAAAGCGGTCGCTCCTAGAAATTCATTTTAATTGAAGGTGTCGGAGGGGGGAAAACTTGCATCATCGCCGCGAAAAAAGCGTCACATTTTAGCGGGCATGTTAAGGCATCAGAAATTAAACTATCGAAGTTTTGTAGCTTCGAAAAAGAGTACAATAAATCCGGAATACGGACGAAGATAAAACAAATACGGAATTATAGCTGGCGGATTTGAAAGGGGCAAAGACAGCTGAGGATCTCCTCAAAAACCAACCTTGAACATCAAAAGCATGCGCAATTTCGTGACCAATGAAAAACGCAGCTCCGGCGTAGTTGGAAAACCTAAAATAGCGACTAGATCGCGCCCCGCCACCGTACCCCGGTTTCGAGTGATCGGCAAAGTTCCTCGTGACCAGTGCCATGGGGTAGACGACGACGTTCCGCTCGTAGTTGTGGATGGCGTTCAGGGTCAAGCTATTTGTGTTGTCCAGCCAGTGACTACGCGAGACTCCTTTGGACAGCCTGGAAATGGGGTACTGTAGGCCGGACAATTTTAAGGGGACAACCTTCCCAAATCTCGACGGTATTTTCGAGCCGAGGCCATGACCATAGTCCAGAAGAAGTCATCTTTACGTTCCGGCTCTCCGTAGAACTGGAAAAATTGGAGTAAAGGGACGTTACGCCCGCGTCACGCAACCCGGGGAAAGCTATAACGATGTCGTAACCCATTACGCCCTGCAAAGGCCGCGGGCGTCAGCGTATGCGTCGCGTGTGGCAAATCCATAGCCACAGGCTTGCCAGTCCCTCTAAAACCGGTGCAGGCCGGAGTCTCCCCGCTTTTCATGGCGTAATGGGCCCACCTCCACGACACGCGCGTTGCCTGTTGCGGCGCGGAAAAATCTATGGCTAATCGGTGCGCTATCTGGCCTGACCCTTTAATAGCTGTTGCCATTAATGCGCCGACAACATTTTAAAGGAACTAGCAAGGAATTACGACAGATCCGATGAATTATGCTTCAACCGTGACAAACAATGCGCACGACCACGCATGCAAAAATCGTAGGAATCCTTCGCCCGGCCCTTTAAAAGCTATACCAAGCTTGGGGGAAAGGATTTTTCGAAAAGTTTCCTCGTTTTGAAGTTCATTAATGCGTAGAAACCTAGTAGGTCCACTTTCGTCTCTCTCTCTCTCTCTCTCTCTCTCTCTCTCTCTCTCTCTCCCCAAAACTTGTACTTTCCCCCCAGCTACCGTACCCCCCAATCTGATCTCCAATTCCGCACACAAAAATATTTACGCATGAGCCAGCCAGCCGCACGGCTGGCCCGTTCTAATTATTTTTGCACAATTTCTCCCCCCTTAGGGGGCTGGGGCTGGGGTGTAAAGAGGAGCCGAGTGGCGCGGAGGAGGAGGAGCGGGTTTGGGTCTTGTTTCTCCCCAGGCATGCCCTCAGGCTATTTACGGGAGAAATGAGAAGCTGCTTCTCCGCGTGCGGGGGGAGGCTACGAAGCAAACATCTTCACGGCGTTTTCGGGAAAGTACGTTTTTCAGGGTTTAAAGGGGTTGTGAAGGCAATCAAAGAGGCTTAAAGGGATCGGGAAGTCAAAAATTACTTTTGAAGGGTTCGGGAAAGCAAATCTTCCGTACACCTCTAAAGGCCCCGTGAAGTTAAACCGACCTGATCTGCCTCAAAATTCAGCGCCCCAACGTCGTGGACCTGGTCCGGAAAAGCGCCGAAAAACGTGACGTTGCCCAGCTAAAAATATTGGATTAGCTACCGTAATCCGTAGTTACCGTAGTTTCCGAAAAAATTTAAATTTTACAATTTTATAATCGTCCCTTAAAGTTACTATAAAAAACACAAAGCTAAAGTTTAAAATTTAACAAAAATAACATCTGAAATGCTTTTTCAAAAAGCTTTAAGGGACTTTTCGTGCTATTTCGTGCTATCCAGCTCCTGAACCGTCACTTTTTATTTTTTTAACAATTCACCCCTTTCTAAAAATATTCCAAAACGCTCCCACCAACGTGGGGGCGAGCGGGGCGCAAAATAGGCTATTTTACGGGTGGCGTGGGCGGCCGATGGAAACAGGAAATTTGAATATTATTGGGGCAATTTAAAAAAGAGCAAAATATCGAAAAACGAGCCTTTTGCAAGACGTGGCGTCGCGTGGGTGGGTCGAGGACTGCGGAATTTTGGATGATTTGGCCGTAGGAGGTTCGGACGTCTTCGAAAAGTCGGAAGAGGAGGGCTTTGTTCTAAAAAACGGGTTTTGACTGTAAAAAAACTAAATCAGCTTTTTTAATATGTGTTATATGGTTGAAAATCAACATTCTATTTGAAAAGTCGATATTAGCTTTAAAAATTTGTAAAATCACCTTATCCGCAGCGATCGGGTCCAATTTCCGGAAGAGAGCCGCTGTCGACAACGGAAAATGGCCTGCAAAATTTTAATTGTATTTTTTGATTTTTTTTGCTTGTATTTCCTGGCGTAATGAATACCTAAAAATTAATACGAAGTTTTTTAATCAAATGAAATCCCTTAATTTCGATACCTGAGAGTCTGGCGATGCAGAACTCCTCCCGAAGATTGCCGGAAGGGACGTAGAGGGCTCGGACGATCTTAAAGAGATAGGGGCGGCATAAGTCAATCGATTACGCGAGGAAGGAAAATGTCTCTGCGCCTCTCCTCTGGGAGCCCTCTCTCGCGCGAGATCGCCGCGGGACCTGTTGAACCCCCCCTCCCCAAGGGGGGTTCAACAGATGCCGTCCTCATCTCTTTAAAGCAAAAATTCTACGACATCTCTGCAATGATCTTTGCTAGATTGCCCACTGAATTTTCCTAAAAAATCGATGCTAGCCTGCCCACAAGACCAATTTTTTGAAAACAAAACTTCGCAAAAGATTCTTATTGGATAGCCAAGCCACCCGTTTCTCCAAAAATCTCTGCTAGCTCGCCAGGAAGGCAGAAAATCGATTCCTCAATAACCGCTGCTAGCCTGCCATTCAAGGCTTAAAAGAGGCTCAAATGATCCCTGCTAGACCCTGGCCCACATTTTCGAGGCTAAAATTCCCCAATAATCCCTGCTAGCTGACCTGAAATCCAAGATTTGGTGCGGGAACAGATCGTGGAATCTCTGCATACGAGAGCGTCACCGTCAATATTCTCCATTTTATGTAGTCCTCCAATGCCTTCAATCCTAAAATTTGCCCTTTATTCGCCAGGCTTACGGTATGCATACCCTCAGCAGTTTGTGTATATTGATCCAGGATTAGAGACAATTTCTCCAGCCATCTGATGCCCGCCTAAAACTCGGGTTTGTTTCTTAAGTATGGGCTTAAGTCGAGGCTCACTCTCGGGCTTGGGCTCAAGCTCAAGCTAAAACTCCAGGTAAAGCTCAACTTAAGGCAAACGCTCCAACTCAAGCTCAAGCACAAGCTAGATAAAGTGTCTTTGCATACCTTGATGGCGATAGGTTGGTCGTGCTCGACTTGATAGCCCAGTAGCTTGCTGAGGAAGTACAGCCAATCAAACTGAAAAAAGCGGGTTTCAAAGGAGCATTGAAGGTCTTGAATTTGTCATTTTTTAGTTTTCCACTCTCTCACTTTCGCTCTCTCTCCCTCTCCCTCTTGCTCTCTCACTCATCCTCTCTCGCACGCTCTCTATCTCGCTTTCTCTCGCTCTCTCTCATGCATCTCTCTTTCTGTTTCTCTCCCTAGCGCTCTCTTGCTCTATTTCTACCGCTCTCTCTCACTTTCACTCTCATTCTCCATCTCTCTCTCTCTCTCTTCTGCTTTAGTAAGCCTTCAATTTCAAACAAACCCCTGGCACGATCCTGGCCAACTCCCGGACGGTAGACACATTATACTTCTCGTGGTCCATCCCCTTGCCCTCGTGCTAAAACGTGGACACTCTACCGTAATCCATAGCATCTGAATTACCACAGTAGATATCCGCACAAGTCGCCACTCCAATTCGATGGCTCTTGAGAAACTGAGGCGAACTATGTCATCTTTGATATCAGCTCCCGAGTATCCGGCCATTTGCATTCCCATCTCGAAAAGGTATTGCATTTCCTAAAATTTTCGTTAAAAATTAATATAAAATGGATAAAAATCGTAACTAGAAACTTTTTTGTAGTTTTTAGTTTATCGCCTCGATCAGTTTAAAAGAGCTAGGCGCAAATAACGTTTTTTTTTCGAAGGCTACGGTACTTTTAAAGGGGCAATGACAGGCCGAGTTTGTCTTAATAATTCTGCAATTACATTTTCTAATCTTTTCTATAGTTTGTATCCCGGCCTACCGTACCGGATGTATCCGCCCAGCCAAAAATCCTCGGCCCTCAACTCGGTCTCCTGGGTACGGTAGAGCATCGCAAATAGAAAAGTCGGAACTTGCTCTTCGATCTGGAAATGATTTGGGGTAGGGCTTAAGGTGCTTGAGCTCCAGCTTCAGCTCATCTGCTAAGCCCATGCTCAACTAGCTCATGCTCCGTTAGCTCTGCTAAGTTCATGCTCCAGGCACTGTCAAGTTTAACAAGCTCACCGTCAAAATATACTTCTTCGAGTCCCCGTAATTCACATCAACGCCCAGCCAAAATATCGGGAATGTCGCGTAACTGAAACTGACTGAATCAGCCGCTAAACATTCGAAGTTACCTGTAAGCTTGAAGCATGAGATCTTCGAAAAAGTAGGAAGGTAATATGGGGAAGGGGAGATCACCCAATCTCCATCCGTTTATCGACTAAAAATGTATTCGAAATCCATAAAATACAAATAAAAATAGTTTATAATAAAAATACAAAAATCGCGATTATTGAATTGGTGTTAAATTTTCATTTTCATTTGCTATTTTGCATTATCGCGGGCGGAGAGTTTTTCGCAGGATCTCTCCATTATAAATAGAGGAAGCGCTTCCGACTTTTAATTTTCGTAAATGCACAAAACTTCACAATTTTTTATTAAAGGATACAAGAAAATATAGGTTTTCGATTTATCATAGGTTTTTCGACGTTTGTCACACTTTTTCCACTTGAAATATAGTTAAATTACTAAAAACTGCACTAAAATACTCACATTTACGCAACTAAGAATTTCTGGAATTCCAGGTGATAATTCCCCCCCCCCCGATAATGAAAAAGAACTTTTTAATGCTTGAATACCTGTATCAACTGTAGCCATGGTTGAAGTCCGATCTGCTCTAACCCGGCCGTATCCATACACTTTCCAAATGTGTCCACAACCGCCGTCTCCCCCTCCGACAATTCCATCGAGATGACACGGTATTTGACTGGAATTAATAGGACTTCAGGGGAGTTCTAAAGTCTCCTCAAACACCTCTGCTACCTTGCCCCGGTGTTGATGTTGTATGTGTTAATTTAATAATAATGTTTAAATGTCACTAAATTCCTCGTTTTCCGTTTCAATACTCCGTACTTTAGTCAATTTTCCACCTTGCAGTTCCCGTTAAACCTTAAAAGCAGCTGCGATTACCGTACTTTTCGTGAGAGCACTGCAGAGTTGGCTATGTGTATGCAGTCCATTTTCGGCAATACTGTGCCACTGTTGTCCGAGGGACAATCTGGACACTGTTCGGTTGATCCACCTAAAAACGTGAATGATACCGGATTGTTGGTCTCTCTCTCGCTCTCTCTCTCTCTCTATCTCTCTCTCGCTCTTGCTCGCTCTCCACCGTACCCTCCACAGGAATATCTGTAAAAATCCTGGCACGGGTCGACGTCAAGGTCCATTTTCTCCGCCATGGCCGCCGTGGCCCGCACGCAGCCAAGGGAGGTGCACGCTGCAAAGTACGCAAGATTACGGTACTGTCACTGTCATTTTTGGTCTTATGAACCAATTATATGATGTAATTCCCCCGTTTACACCTTCTGGTCCCGTTAAAAGCTCATCTTCATCGCGCCTGGACCGATTACGGTATGTGATTACGTTATTTTTAGCCTTATTCGCCTCTTTAGATTGGAATTTTTAATTGACGGGACTTTTCAAGCGATTACGATATGTAAAGAGTCATTTCCAGGCACCCTAACCACCCCTTTGATTTTTCGAGCCCCTTCCCGTACCGAAATTCCGCAACATTCCCCTGACGGCACGACCCAAATGGCCCTTCCCCCCTCCATTTTTTGGCGCTCGCCGCGCACATTTTATTGCCATTTTCGCGGGGGTCTATTTGATTTCGCATCCCACGCATGGATTTCCCCCACCCATAAACATAATGAACAGCGCAAAATAGGGGTCTCTCGACGAATTTTTATCCAAAACCCGGCTAAAAAAGTTTTGAAAAAATCAAAAATTGCCCGTAGCCGCTCGGCTGAAATTTTGAGGGTTGAATGGCGCATAAATTGGTGGTTTATGGGCTGTAATTTGGCGCGGTCTGTACTTTACGTTTTTCCCCTGAGCTTGGGCCGCAAAAAAGGTTATTATTGTTATGGGAAAAATGAACTCTTTATGTGTTATAGAACCTTGAATTGCCGCAACCCGCTCGGTAAAACCCAAATTTTCTCAAAGAAATCCTGCTAGCTTGCCTACATTTGCCTCATTGGGAAAACCTTGGATTACGGCAGAAAACCACATTTTTAAACCGACTTTTTGTGATGAAAAATGCGTAGCTGATGAAGGCGATGATGGCTGTGGTGGCGAGGAGGAATAAGGGGCACAATATAGCAAACAACAATCGATCGCGTCGGCCGGTTGCCTGAAAAATCTGTCGCTCTCTCTCTCTCTCTCTCTCTCTCTCTCTCTCTCTCTCTCTGTTTCTCTCACTCACACACACTCTCTCTCGCTCACTCCCTCTCCCTCTCAAACTCACTCTGCCTCTCGGTTTCTCTCTTTCTCTCTCTCTCTCTCTCTCTCTCTCTCTCTCTCTCTCTCTCTCTCTCTCTCTTTCTCCATACCCTATTAGCCGCCTTTCCGATGAGACATCCATTTCCGGCAACTGTCGACTCGTCTCCATTATCGTTCTAAGACGCTCCATATTCTACCGTATCCCCTTGAAATACCTTATTGGGACCCCTGTTGGGACACATAAGCAGCGTATAGGCCCTGATTGCCTCGTTGTTCTTCTCCTCACATTGGGGCCCTCGGCGGCCAGGGGGGAGCAGCGGATCGGCCGACGAACACGCCGACCACCCTTGCCACGATGCCCTGGAAAATCAGGTTTAAAGGGGCCGGCAAGGCACAAATGTGGGCGCTTTGCATTTTCCCAGCGTGGAGCCCATAAACGTGACTTTCCGGTCTCTTTAAAGCCATTGCAGGCCAGCTAGCAGATACGGGTGTGGAACTCCTTTAAAGGCACCAGGAAGAAATACCAAGAGTCCTTGTTTCCTATGGATTTCCGCTGAATACATTACGCAAGGCAATTCCGCGCTCACGCCTTGCAAATCCATAGCTTTCTCACACCACGCCTTTAAAATCCTTATCCCAAGCAAGCGCCCAAAAACCCTTTAGGAAACCCCCCGAAAAAGCACCTCTCCCCGCTGGGGGTCCTGGAGGGCGAGTTGTGATGAAGCGAAGGGGTCGTCTTGGCACTTGTCCAAGAATATACACAAATGGAATATCGGAACTCTGGGGGGTACTGTAGCCGAGTGGGTCCCACCGCCAGGGAGATAGAAAGCGTCGATGGGGGATCGCGGCCCTGCTGGGGCCCCACCCCTCCACTTTCCCCCTCTTTCTCCCCACTTCTTGTTTGGCCCATCGGAAGGTGCGAATTCGCAACTCCTTTCATCCGCCAATTCATAATTGAGACCTCGCGGATAGGGATGGGGGATAGCAATTATTTCTGCCTTGCGTCGGGTGATGTCGACGAAAATAGGGGGAATGACAGGATTCTGAATGGGAATTCAGGGTACCTTTAGGAATATTAACAGTCGTATGACCTGGTTGCAGAGACTTTTAAAAAGATTCCGCAAAAAGCAGACTACGCAGAATGGCAAAAAGCCTACGACACTCGGGATTCCCAAGCCGTCTCCGATCCAAGTACTAACCGAGCCCAACGTTGCTTAACTTGGCAGATCGGACGGGATGCCGTGCTTTCAACGTGGTATGGTCGTAGCCGGGGGTAGGGGAAGAACGAGGGGATAAGAGAGGGCAGAAGGGCCTGCACGGCACAGTCTCTTCTACCTGACTACCCTTTCACATTTCGCCTACGACCATACCACGTTGAAAGCACGGCATCCCGTCCGATCTGCCAAGTTAAGCAACGTTGGGCTCGGTTAGTACTTGGATCGGAGACGGCTTGGGAATCCCGAGTGTCGTAGGGTTTTTGCCGTATTTTTTCTCATGGCAACTCAGTTTTGCGTTTTAAAATGTTGCAAAGCTATTTAAAAACGAGCCTTCAGCCGTTTTTTACAGAAATTAGAGCATTTTACCGGATTTTGCAGACCCTGGCCTTCACAGCAAATTTCCCCCCATTCCAACTTACCATTTACCGGATCCCGGCCGAGCACCTGAATCCCATGTGTATCACTGTCCTCGGCCCGGATTGTGGGTCGCTAAATATATTATTAATCCATCTCAAGGCGTGTATAAAAAGAAAATGAGGGCAAAAGAGAGAGGTTCCAGGATATCTGCAAATCCCCCAAGCAAGGCCAATTTGTGGGATTTGTATAGTAAAGTAATGGGCTAAAAATGAGCCTTTTTTTGACCATGGGATTAGTGATCCCGGCAGGTGGGGTTGGTTAAAATTGGGAGGAACGGTGGGGCAACGTGGGGATTAATCTGACGATTAGGGGGTCGTTTAATGAAAAAGATGATGGCACGTTTCACTTAAAGTGACGAAAATATATAAGAAATTACGTTTAAAGGAGCTGAGAAGTACCCTTGATTTTTGTGGAAAGCAGTTTGGAAAGAAACCACGACGCAGCCGCGCGCCAAGCTCCCTTAATTTGCGAATTCCGGCGTTATTTCTGGAATCTCAATGAACGGTTTTTTTCCATTATCGGCGGAGGGGTAAAAATCTATAAAAGAGTAGGTTTTTCGGAAAACTAATCTTTTCAGACAATTTTTAGATTTTTAGAGGTGTTGCTACTTTCTAGAAGCTTCGAAATACAGTTTAATTTTACCAAAAACATGATTAGAATTTTCGCTATCACATTCCTAAAAATGAGAACGACCTAATCTTTTTTGGGAAGCCATTCACAACGTGTTAAGCTAAAGCAAACATGCGCAATTCACGCAATTCCGTTCGGCAACAAATGACGTGAAGGGTGCGCCAGAAAGGTGTCTGCAGTGGACGCGAATTGGATAAACTTTGACTCTCCATCCCCCCACCCTCGCTCGCACACGTCTTCAAGACGTCAGAAGAGGGTAACATGGACAAATTGAAGAAAATGGAAGCGAGCGGCAAGCTGTAGAAAGTGGGCTGAGGTACGGTAAGAGTACGTCAACTTTGGTCAGTAGATTTCGCTCGAAAAAATCTCTGCAAAGTCTCAGGGTCCAGGGGAATTTGCAGGTTTCAAAGTTGTTGCTGTTTGGTGGAAGATGAGGCGTTTTTCCTGCACTAGACTGTTACCAGGGGGGGGCAACGAAATTTTTCAGCAGTTACGGACTTTTCGCTTGACCGTGGAAAGAGTTGAGGGAAGGGTGAATCTGACCCTTCCTAGCCCCTTTAGCGTAAAAAAATAGATTTCAATAGATTTCCAGACAATTGCAAAACACGCCGCGACAAAACCTGAGTGTTCACGCTCTCCCTTTGAGCTTCCCATCCAATTTCCGGGCCCTAACCAACAAACCCTTTCTTAGAAATATTTACGTGCTCTAGAACGTAAAACGATCAACTCCACGCTTCCACGACCCAAAATTGGCCCGGGAAAGTTTTCGCGAAATCAGCGCGGGTGGCCGCTGCAGACAGTTCACAAAATGTTCTTGAATTTTGAGGAGACGAAATCTACACCTGATCTTCTCTGAAAAAGCTGGCCCAGAAAATAGCCGAAAAATCTCAAGCGGAAGTGGTGTCGGCGGGTCAAAAGACCCGTGATGACATGGCGATCAGTCAGGAAACTCTGCTAGTCAGCCCCCACTGGGCCATAGTGATTTAGGAGGGGCCATTAGATGGGTAACAGGAGGCCAGTCCGCCCTAAAAAGTGACCCAGTGACGTCTCTTGACCTTTTAACGACACATCCCGCCCGGAGTTGCCAACCGCTCCACAAAGTTTGACGACATGGGCATGATTTTACCTTCCGAAAGGATAGAGCTTGCAAAAAGCATAGCCAGCGAGCGAGTACCATCTGCTTGTAGCAAAAAGCTAGCCTGGTCACCAAAAGTGCAAAAAGCCTACGACACTCGGGATTCCCAAGCCGTCTCCGATCCAAGTACTAACCGAGCCCAACGTTGCTTAACTTGGCAGATCGGACGGGATGCCGTGCTTTCAACGTGGTATGGTCGTAGGCGAAAGGGGAAAGGGTAGTCGGGTTGAAGAGACTGTGCTTCCACGGCCGTTTCTGCCCTCTCTTATTCCCTTGTTCTTCGCATACCCTCGCCTACGACCATACCACGTTGAAAGCACGGCGTCCCGTCCGATCTGCCAAGTTAAGCAACGTTGGGCTCGGTTAGTACTTGGATCGGAGACGGCTTGGGAATCCCGAGTGTCGTAGGCTTTTTGCACATTTTGCAATATCCCCGAGGATAAAAAAAAGCCATGTCATGGAATTCAAGGACTACTGTAAGTTCGTGAAACCCAATTTTTAGAGGGCGACAATGCGAAAACTCGAAAAGTACAACAGTTTGCACAAACAAAACCCGTCTTGCAGCGGAAAACAAGCAGGAGGGAGGTGATCCGAAAAAAGGAGTGGGGGGGCACTTGTGGAATGCTGTGTGGGGTTGAGGAGACACGGGTGACCGGTGTGGATGACTAATGGTGGGCAATTGGCCCGCCACCCGACTGAGAGATGGGACCCAAGGCTAAGGAATGGAGGAGGGGACCCAACCAGAGTGGGACACACACACACTTTCCATCCATCTCCAACATCCGGGGGCTCTATTTCTGGGACATCCATGTCTGCAACTGTCTAAAAATATGCATATTTATTCCAGCATCAAATAAGCTGAAAATTGCCATGTTCTAGGCAAAAATTTCGGCGAAAAAGTTGACCATCGCGGCCCAGGAACGCTTGTCGGCCTTGGCGTTGTACGAAACGCCGGGATGGTCGATGAGATGAGCCTCTATAATTTTTTTGCGTTCGATAATTCACTTCAAATGATTTAAAGAATTAAGCGATGGATCGTACAACTATTTTTAAAATGATTAATTATCGTCTTAATTTATATTCTAGAACCTACTTGGCTCGGTGAAACCGTGCTCCGCGTCGCTGTAAGTCGTGAAGTGCCAATCAGCCTTACGCGCTCGCATCTCGTCCAAGAAAGCGGGTATCTGAAATATTAAAACTTCCGCTTCATAAAGATTACCTGCTCGTTAATCCGCTGATCGAGATCGCCATGGTGAACCTGAAAACTCATTTAATTTCGAGATTTTTGGATAGTTTTACTTAGTTTACTTTTCAATTCTAACTTACCTGAATGGCCGTGCTTATCGGCGTGTGCTCGGCATTTGGTAGCGGCAACAGAGTGCCGTGGAATGAGACGACTCCTAGGTTTTTTTGCATTAAAGAAGGTGTTTTAGAACCAAAATAGACTAAAAACTGACATTTTACTACCTTTTAGCGGGGCGCCGTACCGAGCCAAATCCAAGCAAATCAGCCCTCCGAAGCAATAGCCGGTGGCGCCGAGCTAAATCAGAATTTATATTATTTTATTTTATGAATTTACCAACCTTGTCGGTATTGACACGGGGGTCCTTGCTGAAAGCATCAAGCGTGGCTAGAGTACGGCGTTTTAGAGTTGTCTCTCTAAATATTGTTTTTCAGAATTTTACAGTTAAAATCACCGCTCTCCGATCAATGCTTTGCAAATTGCAAAGTTTTCCTCTTTCGTCTGCCCGATCTTTTCCTTGCCATACACATCAGCGGCAAGCGCGACGTAGCCCAACTAGATAGACATGTTTCTTTTAATTCGCCATAAAGATAGGTTTCCCTCCTCAAAGTTATGACCTACCTTTGCCAATTCTTGCGCCTTTTCTTTTTCGAACTCGGTGCACCCGCCGAATGCATGGTACACCACTACACCAGGGTATTTCTTCGAGGCGCTGGCGTCCCTAAAAACAACTTTCAATTCTTTCCATGCAAACTCACGGCGGATAAGCGAGGTATCCCTCAAAAACGTCGCCATTCGAATCTTTGTACTCGAACGGCTCACTTTTGAACACCATTGTGGTAGCCTGGAAAGGGATAGTACGGCGAGATGATAGGCAATCTGAGCAGAGAAATCGAGTCGTGATAACCATAGCGCAGCCCGTGAAATAGCCGGGTCAATCGGGGGCGGGCACACAAAATGGATAGATAAAAGGAGGAGGGCACAAGCCACACATTTCCGATCCCCATGGTTATTTTGTGCTTTCCTTTTAGCTAGGGCTAATCAAAAAAAAAACGAAAAAGAAAGCTGGGGTATCCTCGTAGAAAGTAGGGAAATGAAGAGGAGGTAAAAAGCGTAGCGGACCGCACGGTGAGCATCAAAACAGTCGGCACAAACCCCAAACAAGACCGCTACACCTGGGCGTGTATGAACTTTGATGCGCGCCATCGCCTTGCGCTTGAAAAATGAGTGCTAAAAGCAGATTTACGCGATCTGCTGATAAATGAAACTGTGAAATAATAAATATTTCCTATTCAATCAGAAAAAAGAATAGCAAATTTTGGGAATTCAGGTCTACAAAAAAGCATTGTCAATTGTTCGAGTATCCAGCTAGATATCTAGATTCTGACGAGAGTCACGGGACTAAAAATTTGGAACAAAAATTGCTCAAATTTGAAAACTAATTAAGCATAATCTTCAAGCCCAAAACTTACGGATGATCCCTCATTATGCTTCACTATGGTCATCAAAGACGCCTGGCTCTACAAGACGATCTGCCAGCTGCTGCGCAGCTTCCTCAAGTTCGCCCCAGATGTGGCGCTCCACACGGAAGAAAGCCATCCGTAACTTCACGTTACTCAACTTAGCGCAGCCAATCCGTTTAGCCACCTCTCCGACTACATCCACACCATCGAGCACGCCGTCGAGGACACCAACTTTGTCCGCGAACACCCGGCCAACTTCCTCAAAACGTGTAAGCTGGGCAGCATTCTACCTGAACCTTCTCAGGCGTTGCTCTAAGCGTGGCGCTCGTCCTCTGCTACATCATCTTCCACGCTCTCCTTCACGCGCATCGCTTCATCTTGGAGAAGTTCACCGGGCGCCGCAAGGTCCCGCTCGTGCTCTGCCCGGTACTAAAATGTTGTTTTAGCTAACCGTGTTTTCAGGGAGACCTGCTACCCACCGTTGAAGCAGACAGCCTCCAGGCCAATCGGAAGCCGAATGTCGTGAAGCGCATGAATGAGCCGGTGGAAGTGTGCCTCTTCTATACAAAGGTGTTTCTTCTACCATTTCTGTCCAAATTTCAGTCACGATTTCAGTCGAATCAGGGACAGGTGACCCCGAAAGTGCTGTCCCCTCCGAAGCCGGTTGAGCAAAAGATTGAGCAGCATCCACCACATCATGTCTCCATTTCTGAGACACTGGTTGAAGAGGTTAGCTCTAACAAGAACTGATCTTCTTCGAACACATACAACCCTTCTGTTTTAGAAGAAACCAACTCAAACCCAACTCGTTTCTGGCAACAGCTCCCCTCAAGACATCTCGCTGGTGAAGGCTGTCAAACGCGAAAGCCTCCTCAACATGCGCATCCTGAACTCGGCTGATGTAAAAAAACAAAAATTGCCATAACCCGATTTTAGGACGCCAGCAGGCAGTTGGGCCGCCATGACAGTGAACGTCACGTCGAGGTGCCCGATCCTACCAGGAAGATGTCGCCGCGCCCTGTTGAACGCGGCCCGAAGAAGCATAAGCGAGCTTCACCCGCAGAGAGCACGGCCCGCTCGGGATCCTTCGAGTCAATGGAGAAGCGCGCAACGGACGCTTCTCCGACCCCCTCCTCCTCGACCACTACCACTCCCTCTTCCGGCCAAACCACAATGCCATCCAATTCGTCAGGCTCTGTCGGTGCCGCTTCCAGCCTCTCGAGCTCGAGCGTGGTAGGGGTGCCTGAACAGCTTTAGAATGCTTTCAGGACTCATCCACTACCAATTCTACCCAGCCGCTGGCTACGAGCTTCACCGACATCAACGTGCCGACCGATCGGGCTTCTGGCGGATGCGATGGCCTTGATGAAGACATCGCAGTGACCCCCTTTGGCTCTCGGTATCTAAAATCTCCTTATCGAACCGTCAATTCAGCATTGAAAGCGTTAGCCAGCGAGTCCGCTGTGGAAAAGACAATGACGAGGTCGTCTCGAGCCCGGTGTCTACCGCGGCCAAGGACCCGCCCAAAGAGAAGAAGACCAACACGAAGGTGAAGAAGAAGACCGACGTGACCGCCAGGGCAATGGCTATGATGCAAATGTGGCCGTCATCAACGTTGGTGGCCGGCTGCGTGCACTGCCAGAACCAGCCGCTCTACCCGGTCACTTTCCGTTGGCACGATCTGAGCCCGAAATCTGTGAGTGCCAATCGTGCTCATGCAATAATGATACATAGGTTTTCATCTCTGGCTCGTTCGTCAACTGGGAATTGAAGATCCCGCTGCGCCGCGATCGCTACGGATGGGTTGTGGAGATTCAACTGCCCAAGGGCCACTTCGAATACCGCGTAAAACCGCTTTAAACCTTATATGAGAAACGCTACCTTTCAGTTCCTGGTTGATCGCCAATGGGCCATCGATGAGAAGCGCCAACAAGTGCTGCTCACTCGCACCGGCCAGTTGAACCATGTCGTCCATGTGTGAAGAAGTACCCGATGCACATTTCCCTTGTTACCCGACCATGCTCTGATGCTATGCCCCTACTACCCGCTTAAACTCGTTTCCTGAATTTCGTCTATATCCTCGTCTGATCAGCATTCGTTGAATAAAACTTTTAGTTTTTGGATAAGTGGGTTTCCGTGTAAATCTTGGCAAAAATGATAAAACTCAACGATGATGACAAAAAATAATTGTAAAAATCACGAAAAATTTTTCCGAAAACATCGTAAAAATTTGTTAATTCTATTTAAGTAGTTCCGAAGCAATCCAAATGCCGTCCGCCATGCTACGATATACCGTAGCCAGGGTTCCGCCGCGCCAACCCATTTCTCGGGGTCTTCCCTTTTTCGGCGTTTCGGGCGAAAAAATTTCTCGTTGGTTTTTCATGTTTTCTCATCCTTCGTTTCTCGTCATATTTTATTTCATTAGTTTATAAATTTAATTAAAAGTTATTTTCAGCGATGCGCACCCTACTACTCCTGGCCGTCCCATTCCTACTCGCCGAGGCGACGTTCTTCCAGAATATGCCTAAAAGCTTCCCCACGTTGGCCAAGGCGACGGACAACAAGGTTCCCACCGAGAAGGAAATTCCGATCATCGACGAGCGCGCCTTCCCTGACGTCGTCCCGGCGACTGACAACATCACGACAACGACCGTGTCCCCCTCGGTATTTTAACTCTTTCGCCACGTCTATTTTTGTTCTAGCATTCTCGTTTCGAAGAAGATTTGGAAGAACTGAAGAAAGAATTCGACATTTTCCAAGGCGAAATCCGCATGTGGATGGATCGACCCTATACGCGCTCCGTGGTGCTCCCGATCTTACTGGGCATGGCTTCTGCAATCGTAACTCTCCTATCCATTTGGGCGGTCATCAGAATGTGCAAGAAGTGAGAATTTTGTCCGCTCTAATGGACTTTTTTTAGGTTCCGTATGCGCCGACGGTCCTCCGTTATCGTCAAGTCGCCGAAAGAGTTGCCGCGCGCCGTCGCCATCAAGCTGTCCGATGATGAGATGTGATTGCCCTAATCTGTGGATTATGCATGAATTATCATGTGAATTCTGTGAATTTTTCACTTTGCTACTTTTCTGTCGAAATAAATTGCTTTACATCGTAAACCGTTTTGTCGCACAATTTGTTAACTGCTGGCTGATTGCTATTTGGAAAACCATAGTGCAATAGGACGCTTTTTTGAGCCTTTTTTCTGGTGTTTCTGCTAGAAAAGAGCAGTGTCAATTCGCCCGGGTGGGGGAATTTCGTCATGCTTTGTGGGTTCCCCGCATCTTCGCGCTGTGTCGTTTTTAAACGAAATCCGGATTTAGAACGGCAAACCCATGTCCAAAGCACCGCCTCCTAAAGAAGCTGAATTGGGGAAGACTCGTGAGGAGATTTTGGCCGAGCGCAAAGCAAAGAAGGCGGAGAAAGGTAACTTGCGCTCTATCGCCACATACCTTTTAGCCAACAAAAAGACTGGGAAGCCGGCCCAGGCGACAACCACCCAAATCGAAGCGCCAAAGAAGCAAGTCGCCAAAGTCCATGAAAAAACGCCCTTGAAAGGTTTGTAGTTCTCACTTTTTTCAATTATTTGTAGTGACGTCCACACCGAGCCGCGCCAAGGAAGCTAGTCGACCCCCGCAATGCGATAGGTCTTCGCCAAAAGAGGACAAGCATTTTGCGGACAACAGAAAGGTCCATTTCGGTAAGTGTTCTCTTTAGAAACAATTGAGCCAGTGTCAGACCTTAACACAAAGGTTGCTCCATCTGAGTCGGACGAATCGCTTGTAGCCGCACTCGCCCATACCGAATACAGTGACGATCTCGTACTCCTAAACATCCACCCGGGGTTCATCACACTCTTCACCAAGTATTTTTCCTTTGTGATTGATGGTATTTCAGATGCGAACGCGGCGAAATCTATGATATTGACGATCTGTGCAAATCTTTCCTTGGGGCGCTACGTGACGTTAGTTCCCTTGCGAACTTTCGTTCAGCTTTAGTATGTTCGTTGCTGGGGCATGGAGCGGAATGCATCGGAGACATCACCGACGCTGGCCCATGAGCTTGAAATATCACTGAGAACGCAGCTGGATTTCTTGACGAAAAATGGTTTGTACATTTTCTGCCTGATCAAATTCCTTTAAAGGACGCTGGCCACTCCCCTTCGCGCTTGGAAACATCGTGCGGTTGTTCAAGAAATATTTGAAGAAGATCGAGGAACAAGAGTCTACGTCGAGAACAAATTCCGAAGAACGGATAGCCTACAATGACGTAATGTAATTTTCCAGGAAGCCTAAATCTGTTTGTTTTAGCTTCTAGAATGTGTGCTTGACTGGTTGGATGATACCGAATGCAACTTTTTCAAGAAGGCTGTGGACAAAATTATCTTCTACACAACCGAAAAACTGGAAATAACGAAGAAAGTGCTCGTTTTCGATTGGTATACTTTGCTCAGATTTCGGAAAACGTTTTAGGTGTCACCTCGTCAATGACGTTCTTGTGGCCGCATGTGGTGGTGCAAATCGCCAGTTGCAGGAAATAGTTGTTATCGATCAAGAAACGAATGGGCGAGGTACCACTGTTATCTATGAAAGTAAGATTTCTAGGAGTCCGACACTTCGACACCTTGTTGGAAAAACGCATCCGGTTAAGCTACGGAGATTTGCGTTCGTTGTCAGCTGCTTTAGAAGGGGTATTTTCTGAATTAGAAATTTTTTATCTGGTTTAGTGTTCAATGGCGCTAGTTGGCTGCTCTGCTGTTCTCTCGAATGGAAGCGTGGCGGTGCCGAAAGGGACAATGCTTGTAAATTCGATTCGCTCGCATTGATATATTTCAGTTCAGATTGCTTTGGCGTGTGAAGCCGCCTGTGTTCCAGTGGTCGTCGTAACCCAAACCTTCAAATTTTTCGACAAGGTTGGCTTGATAGAAATCGATAAAATTTGCGTTTTTTTTCAGGTACTCAGCCACGGCAACGTTTCGCTCATGGGCCGCGAAGACATCGAAATTGTACCCTGCCAACTCGCCCCGATGATCATCACTGAGATAGGGCCCGTCCCTTCGACCTCGGCGCCAGCTATCTTGCGAGCCAAATCTCTCGAAAGCAATGATTGAATCTAGATAGTTGTTTCGCAGTAATAAGCTCGCCCTTTTTGTTTGACTCATTTTCTTTTAGCTCTCCCATAGTTCCATTCTGCCTTTAGTTTTAGCGTACTGTTTTCGTTGTATCAGGATGTTTTAATAAATAGTTCTGTCGACGTAAATTGCTCAAAATTGGCATCAATTGTGACTGCTCTTGCAACGGCTATCTGAAAACGCGGGAAAATTTCACTTTACGGTATGGTCCCAAAATGTCGATTTTTCGACTGGAATCGATCCAGCTCGATGAGTTTGTGCATTTCCAGTTGAAAAAACGATTGGGAAACGCTTCTGGACAAAGTTATAAGCTTTTGAAAACCGCTAGTTCACTTTACGGTATGTGAACAAAACCTCAATTTTTGAACAGGAAACGATAAAGCTCGATGAGATAAAGCGTTTTCAGTTGAAAAAACAATTGGGAAATTTAAAATAAGAAAGTTATGACGTTTCAAAGATATTTTTGCCAAGGACTGTAGGCTACGCAACACTCCTATCCCCGCATTCTAGCGCGTGCGCTCTCAGCCAGCGCTTACGTACTTATCTAAAAGCATTTATAATTTTTAAAACTAGTATTTTAAGCATAGAATAGATAAATAACAGTTAGTTGTAGCCTCCAACATTGTCAGGCAAGGCGGGCCGTCGCTTCGGATGGGCTGTCGCTCCACTCTTCCGAAATCGGGGCGCCTGGGCGCTGCGCGCTCCTCGGGCGCCCCGATTTCGAAACCCTGTACGAGCTCGCACCCATCCGAAGCGACTAGGCCCCGGGTGGCACAAAGCCTTATTTTTAGGCTTAAATTGGGTATTCAGCTAGCAAGCCCCTTCAAAAAGGCCAATATTTTGGTCAATTTTCAAAAGCTCATAACTTTGTCCAGAAGCGTTTCCCAATCGTTTTTTCAACTGAAAACGCACGAACTCGTCGGGATACATCGATTCCAGACGAAAAAATGACATTCTGAGAACATACCGTAAAGTGAAATTTAGCCGAAAACGCTGGGCCCATTTGAAAATCCAGCATCGGTCTTTAGAAGCTGCGTCGTGATGGGCTCGCCACAGCTAAGTGTTGAGCATGGCGCGGCCAAGCTACCGCTTTCCTTCCCTTGGCCCACACCTGCTACCACGGAAAAGTAAAACTTTTGCGACTAGCTAAATAACTTCTTTAGTTACGAGCGAATTCTGTCGGCTTATGGTCATGTCTATCGGCTTGATGAGCGCCCAACTAGGTTCAAAAATTTTTTTATTTCATTGAGGGATGTTCAGGGGCAAGCTGTGGACGGAGCTCGCGCAGTCGGCTGTTGCTGTCTATGTCGTCAGAGACCGCACGGATGAAACGTATAAACTGCTTGCCTATGATGTGCATGGGGTTGGTCGATTTATCTAATCATCGTTTTACTTTTTGAGAATGTTGTTCTGCCTTGGGTGCCGATTCCGACCACCTTGGAGGTCGGCGTTGCTAGCCGAAAGTTCATCACAATCGACGTGGGCCAGGATACCTATGGCATTGGGCTTACGCGTACGCGGGATACTTCAGAAGTACTTATAGGAACTCAGAGTATAATCTGCTTGTAGTTGAACGACCATCTGAACTGGTTGAAGAATGTGATTCGTGAGGAAGCCTCAGTGGCTAGCGACGGCTCCGGCCCCTCGATTCCCGTGCAGAAGAACCCGACCATTAAGGTATAAGATGACTTCGACCTTTTTAATTCTTTCTCAGTTGCGTGAGCTGCTATTGGCTGGTCCAGAGACGTTTGCAAAAGAGATGCATTCGTATCGTATGCTGCCCGGTTTCCGCGATCTTGTTCAGGTTTTGGTATTGCCTTTTTTATTGCATGCTAGTAGGTTGTCGATGGCCATTCACCGGGTGAGCAGGATTCCTTGAACAACAATCCCGCTGTAAGGATTTCACTCATGGTTGAATTCTTGGTTCAGCAGCACGGGTCACCAATCAGTGCTCCATGTTCTCCGATGAAGAGCCGCCTGCTCGCCCAGTGCGATGTGACGAGACCGTATGGCTACGCGCCGGATAATTACTCGGAGACGTCGAGCTGTCATAGCCAGCAGAGGGTAGTCACCAGTTCCATTGACAACTGTCATTTTTAGACGTTTCACGACCTGTTTGGAGCAGGTGTGCATCGGGGCGCTAGCCCGCAGCGCCTCTTCCCTGTGCCGCAGCCACATATTGCCGTCCCAGAAGCCCACCGCGAAAACAGTCATTTTGCTGAACATGAACATAAGAACTTTGTGGTGGGCTTCGACCTTGCAATTCATGTTTTGTTTAGTTGCAAAACGTGCCGGCGTCCCGATCACGCTTCCAGAACATATTGGAATCGCCCGCTGCCGCTGGGGAACCACACAGCAAACGTATGCTTGCGGGAGATATTTACAAGATGGTAATTTTATCAGGTTGCAGCGTCAATTCTGATTTCAGCCGGTGTCGTCAGGTCCGCCCGCTTCTGCACCACCAGCATCGGTCAAGCAAAAGTTCCTGCTTGGCGAACTTTACCAGCAGCCTTACACGCCGGAGACACACAGCATCAATCCGCAGCTTTTGCAAGCCCAACTACAGGCCATGCAACTTCAACAGCTATACATGGTATTGTGCCCGTCATGTTTTTATATTGATTCTTTCAGAGTCAATCGATGAATGGCGGTGAGACGCTTTACTGCACGCCGCCCCGGGCTTCGGCTGAGTCCAGACTTTGGCCGAATGGTCAATACACGGCTCAGGTATCCATTGGTTTGTGGCTCGTATTTTTGATGCAGCCTCGTCGCCTTGCATCAACCTCGACGAAGACGAACTCCTCCGAGACGTTCTTGCCGGCCATGCTTTCGCACTGCGGCTCGTTGGAGAGTGCCATCACCAGTTCGGAGGAATGGAGCAACAAGGCAGTCAGCCTGAAGCCGGATGGTCACCATCTAGAGGTTGCCCTTGACTTCGTTATGGTCATCGTATTTATAGGACAGCACCTTCAATGACATGGTCGCTGCCTTCGCCCCGATTGACAGCGCTGAAAACACCGGCGATGAAACTCCAAAACACGAATAAGCCGATTGTTACTAACCCTTATGTTTGAAATTCTTCCTATGTTCACATTGTTGCTTCGTTCATTAGCTGTGCCACTTACATTGTTGTTTTCGGCTCACCGCCACTTTCTCTTTGGTAAATTGTTAAAACGTCTTCTTGAAGGACTTTATTCTCCTAAGAAAGTTAGAAAATCGATACAAAGCAAATAATTCAATTCAAACATCCTAAAAAATAAAATGGCGGGGTAGCAGCAACCGGAGGTTCAAGATGCCATGAGATCATCCAACTCCTTGCTTAGGTCGGCTCCTTTCTCGGTGTCCTTTTTGGCTTGATGCAGACACTTTTCCCAGAAGGCCATTTCGTCATCGAGCTTCACTTGATACTTGTTGTAACAGGCGATAAGTCTGCAAAAACTAGAGATCTGCCTGTTATTCTTACTCTTGTGTAATCTCGTCGACTTCCTGCACCTCTTTGTGTAGCTCTTCGGCACGAGTCTGTAAAAAGGGTGGAAAGAGTACAAAAAAACAACCTCGAGCTGTTCGTTTTCCTGCTTGACGCGTACAAGTTCCTTGCTGCCGTGATACATCGCCAAGCCTGGAAGCATATAAGCTTAAACGCCATCAACTAGACGTACATTGGTTTGTCAAGATGCGAGTAGTACGAACTTGGGGTATACCGTCGGCGCAATCAGCCGGCAGTGGTTCTTCATACAGCTTTTCGATGTTCTCTTCCTTTCGGGCCTCGTATTTCTAAAAGAGCCATTGATCTCGGGAGAATCTCACCTCTAACTGCGTATCCCACCGCTCCAATTCCTTGGTAATTTCTTCGATGTGCCGTTCCATAATTTCTAGAAGCCACGATACGCCATATCAATAATCTTTCCTTGAGGTAATAACTATGTCGAAACGTCAAGTCGTCATAAGTTGTCAAGGATGTTGGTAATCAATCTTTTATTTCATTTCGTCATAGGAAGAGAGCACGGCAAGATGTTCAGCGACAAAGAAATTCTAATGATGGAAGAAAACGAATAAATAGGAGTTTGTATGATGGGTTTTAATCGAGTGCCGAGGACGGCGTGGCTTCACGGCTTCACTTCTCGCCAGTCCCTGGGGCCATTGCCGCGCCAACGATATTGCCCGTAGGGGCCAGGCCGCAGTCGAACCCAAAACAGAGGTTTTTGGTGGTGTAAAAGCGACTAACCCGGTTCCAGCGGATTCCGGCATGGGCGGCGGACCATCCAGGGCGACGGAAACGATCGGGCCGGCAGGTGAGACGGCGGCCGCGAGAGCAGCGGCTTGCGGCGGGGGCGGGACACAAGCTGAAAAACAGGTAGTTTCTCCGCTAATATAAGCCCAGGGCTTCTATTGATTTTCAATCACCGGCAATGTGATTCCGCCATTGACGCAATGAATGTGAATTTATTAGACGGAGAACTGCTAAAGGATCGGGCCATGTCTATTATTTTTTGGTCGACCAAAATAGGAGACGCCTCGTTGCGAAATCAATCTTTTTTTTTCTAACAAAAATCCACGTACCCATATCGTTGGCCATCCCGCGCATCTTTGCCTCCTCCTCGGCGAGCCGTTTCTGCGCCAGCGACTCGTAGGACTCCTTGAATCGATTGAACGCCTAAATTTAAAAGCGTTATCGACTCTTAATCCAAATATTACCTCGAAAAATGATGATTTCATGATGCCGACTTCCTTGCAATAGTTGACGATCGACATGGCCAGGTACACGTACTGCATGTCGGTTTGGACGGCCGAGGCACGCATCCCTAAAAATCACGATGACTGAAGGCTTATCTAACGAAAACCTCGCAACTGCTTGACGACGTTCACCATCTTCACACTGTCCGAGCTCACCGACCGCTGGAGGATCATCTCGATGGCGACGAAAGCTCCGGTACGGCCTAAAACAAGCAAATAGTAGTGCCGAATAAACAGATCCTACCGATCCCAGCCGAGCAGTGCACGACGGTGGTGAAACGGGAGTTGCGCGAGAAACGAAGCAATCGGAACACGGCCAACAGTGAGTGTGGGACCGAGCGATCAGGCCTGAAAAAAACATACTAGATTTAACAGCGTAGGAGATACCCCTAGGTCTATCTTTTCACGACGCATCATAAAACTATGGAATTCACTTCCGCCACCTCTCCTCTTGAACCCTCCGACCAGCGCGAAACGCTTTAGGAAAAGTCTTGAAACCCTTCCCCTAGCCCATAATCCCTCCTAAGCAAAAAACCTATTATCCCCGTCCCTCGTCTTTCACCCATGTTTTTTTTTCACTTTACGTGTTTATCATTTTTTTGCCTACGTTATATTACCCGGTTGAATAAACCATTCATATATATATATATATATATATCGTCCTCAAAACGAAAGATTACCAATCAATCCATTGGTAGTGCTTGAGGGAGCAGACTTCTTTCCCGTTTTCCTCAACCCGAAGCGATGTGTGCACGATGCGCTTGTCACTCGAGTCGACGGCTGTGCAGTGAATGGTGTAGGCTAAAAAGAAATTAGAAACGCGTTGACGCTAACAATTACCTCCATATACCTTCTGTGCTCCCGCGACGTTCGGCCAGTACTGCTCAGACTTTTTCTTGCCCAGTTCTTCCACCTATTCAAGAAAAATAAGTAAGAAAACCAGGGTTGAAAAGCCGCTTCGCGACTTTTCAACCCTGGCCCCCGTCTCACCCCATTTTATCCTAAACCTTTGCATAATATCTTGCATTCTCATCACAAAAACTGAAAAACAACTTCTTCTGCCCCTTTATATGGTCACATCCCTCCTTCCGGTCTATGCCAATTTGTTCTAACAAAGAGGTTTTCACAAAAACCTAAATTTAATGTTGAAAACCGCTGATTTTGTAAAATTTTATATGTGTGCAGTCATCTTCAGACCAATGCGCACCTAATGACGCATCATACGTACTTTAAAATTCATCCCCTAGCGAGATATCCTCCGGACAGACAGACGGAAGTGGATGCAAAGTGGCACACACAGACACACACACGCACAGACACTATTTTTTATATCAACTATAATAAAAAAGTAGAGACGTCCGTCCGTCCGTGTGTGTGTCTGAAGCCGAATTCAACTCGAAGGGGAAAGGAGCTAGAGCTTAGCTCTCTTCGGATTCGGATAGAGCGCCGTCAGAAACCCCCAAACTGATAAAAAACTTACGAAAAACTTTTAGTTTAAATTATTAAAATTAACTTTGAAAGTGGCGCCTTAATAAACGAGTGGGGGCCCCTCTCCCCGGGGAGGCCACGCCCCCTTTCTTCGCCCTCTTCCCAGGCCCCTTCGCGCGCCCAGATGCCTTTTTGAGTTACTTTAATACTTTTAATACTTTTAATTATGTTAATTAATTATTTAAATTATTTAAAGTATCTAAAGCCATCAGGAAGGTATTGAGGTAGTTTTTGAAGGATTTCAGCCATGGGGGTATCTGAGCCATCGGGAAGGGATTTAGGTAGTTTTTGAAGGGGATTTCAGCCATGGGGGTATCTGAGCCATCAGGAAGGTATTTAGGTAGTTTTTGAAGGATTTCTCATGGGGTATCTGAAGCCATCGGGAAGGTATTTAGGTAGTTTTTGAAGGGATTTCAGCCATGGGGGGTATCTGAAGCCATCGGGAAGGGATTTAGGTAGTTTTTGAAGGGATTTCAGCCATGGGGGTATCTGAAGCCATCAGGAAGGTATTTAGGTAGTTTTTGAAGGGATTTCAGCCATGGGGGTATCTGAAGCCATCGGGAAGGGATTTAGGTAGTTTTTGAAGGGGATTTCAGCCATGGGGGGTATCTGAAGCCATCAGGGAGGTATTTTGGTAGATTTTTAACGGAATTTCGACCCGAAGGGGTATCTGAAGCCATCGGGAAGGTAGCTATGTTTTTGTGTGGGGGGGGGGTTGGCTAGAGGAGGTATCTGAAGCCATCAGTGTAGTTATTGCCATGAAGGCATCAGCGTAAGGTAGGGATTAAATGTGGTGGTGTAGAATATGGAGGGTGGCCCGAAGTCCAGCCGATTGCAGTCGCGAAGCGGCTGTAATCGGCTGGTATAGTAGGATACGGAAGATACCTGGCAGAGCATAAAAATGTTTCCGACGTGCTCCTGCACGACCATCCGCCAAAAATCGACGCACGTGCTGGCCAGCGGCCCTTGGGTGCAGATGAAGTTGTTGATCAGGGGCTCTCCTCTAAAACAAGGATCAAGGAGCCAAAAATCCATACCGGACATGGTTAGCGTGGATGTAATCGCCTTCTTTCCCCTGCAACACGACGCGGCTGTGGTCAAGGCAAACGACATCTAAAAAAAGGTGATTTTATTGCGGGCCAGAAGAGTACCTTTGTAGCGATTCTTGTTCGGGTTTCGGTCGAATGCCGTGCGGCGAATGTTCGGTGTATAATAGCCCTTCAGCTCCGTCTCGTAGTCCTAAACAAAATAAAAGCCAAATATTGAGATTAAACCTTCAGCAGCCCGTCAATGCCGACGACCAGAATCTCGGCGATAAAGTGGTTGAAGCGCTCCTTCTGCTCGTCGGACGGATGTTCGATTTCTAAAGTAATTGATTCGAAAAGGGCAAGCAAAAAAGCAAACCATCTGCGCGATGCCTCCGCTGCGCCACTTGCGGTGGCTTTTCGTACTGAAATTTTTAGTTAGCTGCTATAAAAATATTATGAAAAAGGAAACAAGCAGTTTGAAAAGTATTAAAGCCAAAAAGCTATCAGTTTCGATCGAGATACGTTTAGAGTTTCGTTGTTTTTTAGCAAACAACGCTCCCACGCACCAGCCGCGGTCCGGCCTTTTTCTGCTGTCCCGGCGCATCTTTTTCTAGAAATATCAAAGTAAAAGAAACGCAAATTGAGATCCCCACTTTTCTTCCGGCCGCTCAGGCCACACTCGAGCTCACGGTCCTTCTGCCCGTTCAGGTCACGTCCGACGTTGAGAAGCGCGCGGAAGACATCCACCTCCCCATCCGACTTTTTCTTGACGTTCTTGGGTGATGTGTCGCCGGGTCCAGGCATTAGCAATGGATATTTTCGCCATATTTTCCTTGGTTTTGTACCGTACTTTACAACCAAATTGATGCAAATTATCTGTTTGTAAAGTAATGTATTCCGAGCGTTAAAATACAGATAATTTTGTATTTTGAGTGTCTGGAGATCACCCCAGCCGAGACTCAACTTTTGTATCTCGGCTCGCTGTTGGCCTACAGGTGTGTAAAGTAAGCCAAAATGTTCGTCTTTCCCTGGCGATGATTTTGGTATAGTGTATAACCCTGTAGGAGGCGCAGGCGCAGTAGAATAGGCCGGCTGGGGAGGGGCTGTCTGCAGTTTAATCGTAGTTTTTGCTTTTTATCACGATTCGCGTATTTTCCTTATCCGCAATGGCCCAACTATTTATTTACACACATTGCAACGTGAAAACCGGTGATGCGGAACCATCGAAAGGGCGGGGAATTCATGGGGCACGTCGAGAACATTTGAGAATCGGGTTTTGAAGGCAACAAAAATGGGGGGATGAGAACGGACGGCAATTTATGGCTTTTGGGGGTTATGAGAGGTTGAAAATGGCATTGTCAGCTATATGCAATGGGGGCTATTTACAGGTGGCGGGAGTCGTCACGTTTTGGCAGAAGGGGTGCCCTGAAACGGTCTAATTAGTTTTCGTTTTTGGTTTAGTAACGGTTTATGATAGTATCCGGGGGATTTCCTGAGGATCCAAATGTTCTGTTATCGATAAACTAAGTATTTCTAGACGATTTTTACGATTCCTAAACGTCAATGCGTTACAAATTTCCGTCAAATGGTAAGAGATTTTGATTTTCCGCCCCAAAATTTCGAATTTTTTGCGCACTTTTCAAAGTTTCAAGAGATTTTTGGACTTTTAGTTCACCTAAATTTTCTTAAAAACACGGTTAATACCGAGTTCAAAAGTTACATTTCTGCAGGCAGGATTCGACCTACCCCCGATATCATATCAGTACAGTTTAAAGCATACCGTCACCGATTTCCGCTGTTTATTGGCCGGGATGGGTGGGTTGGTGGCGCCGGGTGGCTTCTGCTGTTTATGTGAGGAGGTGATGGACCTCCTGAATGGAAGTTTCAAGGACAGGTTCCCCCGCTGCCCCTTCGGCTGCCCGCTATCTGCTCTTTCGCTTTCTGAAATTGGGCAAACGGTTTGATGAGCGGGTTTTGGGAATTTCACTGTTTAGTTTTCGATGCGGACAGTGGGCACGGCAGCAGCGAGGTTGGGTTTTTAGTTTTTTTTTGGGTTTTTGGGTGGTTTCCGACGATAGACACATGCAAGTGGCGCTGCTAAAGTATCTATGAGAGTACGTGACGATATAAGTTGTGCTTGCAATGTTTTAATTGTTGTTTTTTTTGTTCTGCTAGAAATTGCCACAGCACTCGACACAACGAAATCGCAGGGGTTTTTTGTGCTGCACAACTGACCAGTTCTGTGTGTCGAGGAGTTGGGGCTGAAATTTGGTTAGCGTTTCGAGAGGAGAACATCAAGTTAAACGTATAGAAACCAAAAGTTTTCATGCTATTTTAATGAGATGGTAACGTGGCCATTTTTCGAAAGTACGGATAGCTTCTTTTTGTCGGGAAAACGTGCGGGAACCAGGCCCTTTGGCATTATCGGGGGAGGAGAAGCCTAATTTTGTTCTAATTTTGTCTCCAGAAATGCCTAATAACGTAATAGTGAATGTTTTAATAGTGTTTTTAGTAATTTCACAATATTTCTAGTGGAAACTATCTTTTGGGTGGGTTTTATCCAAATTTGTAAGGTATATTCATTTAAAAACGCCTAGTAATATGATAATACGCATTTCAATAATGGCCTCATCAAACTTTAACTATATTTAAAGTGGACAACTATTAAACAATTCTTAAAAATTGCTACAAATTCTAAATTTTCGTCGAAAATCGATGTTTTTGTATTGTTAGTAAAAGTTTGTAAAGTTTTTACGACTAGGAATGGAAAAAACAGTTTAGAAACTTTTCAACTATTATATTAGAAAACATGCATCCTAAGGAAAAAAGTTGATTCCCCGGATAATGCGAAAGAACCATATTACCGATTTTTTTTATTCGTCACGGTCCCAATATAACCAAAAAAACTGGAACTCAAATTAGGAAAGGGACACGACTGTACGCAATGACGACACGACATCGAACCCCACTTACTTCTGGGCAGCTCGCGCGGCGGAACATCGACGCTTTATGCGCCACCTGCATGTGGTTGGGGGTTAAGGTCGAAGCATAGAGGGTACATGATTGGACGTGGACTGTTTTTTGTAGTTTAAGTCAAAAGGTTACGCGGTCAAAATTATTCAATAAGGATTTTTAAACTTTGTAAAATACTGACCTGCTCCATCTCGCGTACCATCATCTTCTTGATGAGTCCTTTGTGATTCATTGGTTGTCCGAGGTCGAGGTTTTGGTTCTCGGGGAGCTAGAATTGCGTTTTTATAGAATTTTGGCATTATTGTAGAAATTAGAAGGTTTTTGAGAACGTTTTTTTGGCAAACAAATGGTACTGGACTGTTAGCGGGGGGTAGCGGATTTTCCAGTAATCCGTACGGCCCCACAGCGAACAATAGACCATTTTTATAGCATTTTACAGCGTTTTTGGAAATTAAAAGCACAGAAAAATCGCAAAAATTTCGAAAATTAGACATTTTTGTTTCAAAACTGTTTGAAAAATGGCCAAAAATTGTGACATTTTTGCGATTTTTAAAACTAATTTATAACTTAGCAATAAAAACTACTAAAAAAAACTATAAAATTCGGTATATTTTATTCACGGAAGTAGAGGCCAAAAAATCAAATTAGCCCCCCCCGCTAACAATCAAGTGCCAATTTTTCTAGTAAACAAATCATTCGTTATCAAGACCAATTTTATGTTTTTTTGTGTGAGTGTTATGAGTTTAGAAAATATCGCAGTTGAGGCTTGAGGTTGTCAGGAGTTTGATTGCGCAATATTCCCTCAAAATACCCAATAAATATCGTGTTTTGGCGGTAAGCTATTGTGGAATTGTAGTGGCACGTGACTGGATATATCCCCCCTATCCACCCCTCATAATATTGACAATTCTGGAGGGGAGGGCGCCGATCCTATTGAAGCCGTTCTTCCCGCACCCCAGATTTGAGGCGTCCAAATTAGGCATTTGGGGGAGGGCGGGTTTTCAGGGGGTAAATCCCTATTTTTTGGGCTGTTTAAAAATAGGTGTTTGATGGGTGGGGGATAGATGTTGTCATGGACCGGAAATGAGGGTTTTTTGCCTTACCTCAAAGTGCGGGTCGTGCTCGTCGTCGGATGAGAAGACGTGGGTTACCTGGAAAAACGGAAGATGACCGGATATCAGGGGGGAGGCGAAGGGAGACGCGTGTTTTTTGACGTGATGATGATGGGTTTTAAAGGGGACAGGAAGAGATGACAATGCTTTTTAGACTACGCCGCCAAAATCCCGACAGGGCAAAACACCGACAGTCAAAATCCCGGCATTCTAGGGACCGAGCTGCCAAAAGGCCGACAAGCCAAAATGTCGACATACAGCAACCCGACCCGACAAAACAAAATCCCGATAATGGACAATCCCGGCAGTCAAAATCTTGGCACTCAAAATCCCGACAGAGAAAAATCTCGACAAGTCCTCACTCTCTCTCTCTCACACTCTCTCTCCCTCTCTCGCGCTCTCTCTCCCTCTCTCACTCTCTCGCTCTCACCCTCTCTCACTCGCTCTCCGTCTCTTTGTCTCTCTCCCTCTCTCTCTCACTCTCTCTTTCTGTCTCTCTCCCTCTCTCCCTCTCTCACTCTCTCTTTCTGTCTCACTCTCTCTAGCTGTCTCTCTCTAACTCTCTCTTTCTTTGTCTCTCTCTCTAGCTGTCTCTCTCTCTCTAGCTGTCGCTCTCTCTCTAGACGAAAATGAGACTAGAATTCTAGAATTTCTTTCCACCATGAAGACCCCCTTAATTCGCTCCATGCAAAAAATGCAAAAATGACCGGAATGAAATCAGACGCGTTTTTTTTCGGGGCTGAGCCGAGAACCAATTTTCCGGGAATTGAAAAGCAGAGGGCTAATTGGGGGGCTAGACCAAGGAATTGGAATGGAATGGAATGGAATGAGGGGAATCGAATCTGGGGTTGTTGCTTCCGGGGAGTGGGAGAGTTGATTCGAGCCCCAGGGTGAGGGGTGTAAATAGAAAGGGGCAAAAATAGGGTTGTAAATTCGCAGAGTCAGACTTGAGCTTGGGCTTAAACTTGGGCTCGGCTCGGCTTGTTAGCTTAGCTCAACTTGGCTTAGGCTGGGCTTAGGCTTGGCTTAGGCTTATGCTTGGCTTATGTTAGCTTTAGGTTTGGCTTGCGCTTGGCTTCGGGTTGGCTTCGGCTTGGCTTTGGCTTGGATTGCGCTTGGCTTCGGCTTTGCTTCGGCTTGGCTTAGGCTGGGCTTAGGCCTAGGTTTGGCTTAGCTTTGGTTTCGCTTGCACGGCTTAGGCTTAAGCTTAGCTATTCCCAGCTTTCTGAAGTGCAAAACTTTGAAGTAAATGTTAAAATCAGCCCTAGCTTCAGGCACTTCATCGCCGTATCCCACCCCTTGTCACAGCCCCCTTTAAACCCAATAATCACGTCTTCCGCCTAGTCAATCCAATCCTATTTTCGCCCACGGCAGCTGACTGCCTAATCCCATTCGCTAAAGAGTGCCCACCGCCATTCTGGGGCGAGCATCAGCCACAAATCAGGGTATTGGGCCGGATTATGGAAATATTCTAGGGCTTCCTGATGGCATGTCCCCAGGGTTACGGTAGTGTTCGTAAGGTGTTTTTTGAAGGGATGCTAGGCCTCAAGAAAAGAAATGAAAAAAACCCGGAAAGGGGGTTAAAATGGGGGCGGAAGCTACGCGTTGCGCTTCAGTACGAGTTTGTTGGCAAGTTGGGGGAGGGAGTGAAAAATGGGAATAGCATTAGCTAGTATAGCGGCTTGACCCCTAGCGAGAGCGGGAGCGAGAGAGGGAGAGAGAGCGAGAGAGAGAGAGAGGCAGACGTCTAGCGAAAAACTCGAAAAACATTCCCTAAAAGGCTAATTGTGTGAAGGCGGGCGGGGGATCTGGGCCCCGATACGAGTATAGTGAATCAACAAATCTGGGTACCCAAAGCGAGAGAGGGAGAGAGAGAGTGAGAGTGAGAGAGAGAGGAAGTGAGAGAGAGACAGACAGACAGTGAAAAGCAGTAATTGGCTGCCTGCAGTCCCTTTATACGATTCGCATTTGAGTGGAATTAGAAGCGGTTCGTAGCGAGGTGGGGGGGGTAATTCTCAATTGCCAGTCCCTGAAAACAACCCTCTTCCCATGGCTGGTGACATGATGAAATTGGTAGGGTTTTTGCTGAAAAATCATTAATCTCACGGGTTTTAAAGGGACTGGGAAGACAAGGAAAGCGAGTCGATTTTCGAGTCGACTAAAAGTTGTCTATAACTACCAATTACGAATTTTACCGTATCCTCGGCGCAACACGCAACGCGTAAGCCCCCTAGGAGCGGTGAACGTATCGTAAACCATTAAGCGTTGGAAAGCGGGCAGTACTTTCCTATCCTGAAATTTGATTTCATAATTGCCTGTTTCAAAGCGCATTTGCTAAGAAACGGCTACGTAGGGCTACGGCCCAACAAAAATCCCTGATCCGCAGCGCGTCCGCTGTCAATAACGTAGCGTAATCGATTACGAACTCTTCCAAGAGGTCAAGGCGTTTGCGTTGCGTGTGGCGGTACGTGATAGTCTATATGAAATCAATACCTTTCCAGCCCCTTTAATTTACCCTCCCAGAATTCTATGTCGTAATCGGATGCAATAACGCCGAAGCCCCGAAAAAATAAGCGCAGAACGTTACGAAACGCTGTTCGAAGTCGCATTTTCTAGAGTTTTCTAGAGACTGGATATTGTACCCCCCACCCCCAGGATGCAAATTGGATCGTCGCGGAATTTTGCGGCGAGGAGCCCGGGGTTATGGACGATATACGAAGCTATTCCAGGGATGGATGGATATAAAGTAGAGCGGGTGGAAGCCGAAAATGAAGGAGAAGAAGAAGAAGCTCCCCTGGCCTAGTTTGGCCAATCCCCCAATGTTGTTCGGACGGCACTTTTTCTCCTGTGTCTAAACCCGTTGATATGAATGGGATGGAAAAATATGAGATTGTGCCTTGTGATCGGCTAATCTGCAGAATAATGGGGGGATTAAAGGGACCGTGACAGGGGTTGGCTGGCTGCCTAGCTAGCAGAGAGCCCTTGGGAATTCGTAAATATTGCGTTGAAATCGCGCTTTTTAAAGGGACGGGCACGGCACGACTGTGGATTTGTGGAGCTGGATTTCCATAGATTTTCTGCGTTTGAGACACGCAACGCGAACGCGTCGCAGAAAAAGGAGCCGTTATCCACTACGCAATGAAGGAAAAGCGCACGAAAATCCTGATAAAATCCGTAGGCTAACAATCAAGCCTCCTGCCTTACCGGTTCCATTAAATGGGCTGAGAAGCGCCAGAATCTACCCCTGCCCTAAGCGCGGCAGTCTAAATTACGTATCCCATCGAGTCTTCACCAATGCTACAACGGAAAGGGATAAATTCCTACACTTCCCAGACCCTTTAAAAAATTAAAAATTTCAATTCAAAAATGATTTCTGCTAGCCTGCCCTGTTTTGAAGGAAGCGTGACCCCAACAAAGCCCGGTTAAAACAACCCCTGGTGACGCAAAAAATGAGGCATCCCTTGGTGTCACTGTGCCTTTAAACTGCCCCCACTACCGTACCTTGTCCTTGATTTGATGCAATTTGTGTCCCATCGTAGACAACACTCCATCATGGTGCTCGTGATGGCTCATCTTGCGCTGATCGTCCATATCGTTGGTGTGGGCTATCTGGAATGGCGTACAGTTTCGTACTATACGTATTGAAATACGGAAGATTACGGTGAAATTGAGGTGTAGCGTGAGAGTTATGATAAGCTGTTAAAAGGATTGTTAAAGACATTAGGGCATTAATGAGACGTTTAGAAGCGGAGCTTTCGCGTTATCGGGGGGGGCTAATTGTTTTTCAAAGTGGGAAATACCTAGAACCCGCCAAAAATTTTGAAAAATTCGAAAGTTTGGTCACTTTTTCCGAATTAGTTAAAGGGACCGTCAAGTCAATATTTCACGCACTAATGAGAGTACTAAAATTTCGTGATATTTGATGCAACAGAATACAAAAAAAAATGTGTTTTTTTCTGTCAGATTACAAAAAGAAAAATCCTTATTTTCCGCCCCTCTAACTACTAATCCCAAAAAGTAATATCAAATATGGGAGGAGGAGCTCGTTTTAATATCGAGGGTCCCGAAGAGATCCCCGGATTTGGCGGAGGGCTCTACTATAATTTCTTCTTTTGGTTTTATTTTTCTATTTCCGGACCCCACCCACTCACTTTTATTAGATCCCCCCTTCTCTACCCGCCCAGCTTCAGCCACCTTCCGCGAAAACATTTTTTTCCGCGGTGGACTGGGCCAATTTCCAAACATAAGGGAGGAAAGGGTCGAATTCGGAAAGACGGGAAGAAATGGAAGAGAAAAAGTGACAAAATCGGTATCAGAGAAAAAGAGAGTGGGAGAGAGTAAGAAAGCGAGCGAGAGACAGAGATAGAGAGAGAGCGAGAGAGAGAGAGAGAGCGAGAGAGAGAGAGAGAGAGAGAGAGAGAGAGAGAGAGAGAGAGAGAGAGATAGAGAGAGCGATAGAGCGAACGAAAGCGAGTGAGAAAGATGCGACCGAATAAGAGTGAGGAAGAGCCGTGAGAGAGAGAGAGAGAGAGCGAGAGCGAGACAGGAAGGAGGGGTTGAGTGGAGAAGAAGAGATCTTGTGTGCTAAGGCCTCTGTAGGTAAATTACTAAGCGTATCAGTGTGGACTAAAGCATGTATTAGGACCTTTAACAACTTTTTTAGTAACTCAAAGCTTTGAAACTTGCTTACCAGGAAATCGCAACAATCGGGTGATCAAACAGTATCATTATGTCAGCTTTTGGGCTTCCGGACGCCGAGGAGAGAAAGGGACTACCCAAACGGCGGCAGCCGGTGAAAATAGCGGCGTTTGGAGGCTATAGTGCATAAGTATATCGTAAATGCTTTACCAGCCATTCCGCTATCATGATCAGCCCGTCCAGCGGAAAAGTTTTGAGCGTTATCAGTTCTGGACGCGAGCCAGATGAACTCAATATATTTGCAGCTGCATGAGAACTCTTTTGGCCTCTTGAGCCGGCTTTGTGCGAGTTCAAACGCTGGTGCAGAAGAACGGAAGCTTCCGTATACCAGTGGACGCTACAGTTCTTTTCAACGAAACTAGATCACTTGGGAAAGAAGGAGAAAATGAGAGAAAGAACATGGGAAAATTTATTCATCACTTAGCATACTATTCTCTTCTCACTGTTGTGAGCTGCATGTTGCGACCACCTATAACTACAGGAAGAATGGGTGATGAAAGAAGAGAAAAGGCTATTTCATGAGACTCATCTGCAGAGTCTGAACAGACCCCATCACGGGCAGCTCAGTGATTACCAGGCATCAAACTAGATAGTTTTACCTTGGAGCTGAAGGAGGCGCATTGGGCAACAAATAGATAGTAACTAGAGTCTGCTGTTTGATCAGAATGGGAGTGAAGAATGATTTCTTTCTAACTGTCTTGCCATCTTGGTGCCTTCACTCGCTCATCTGCTGAGCGAACTGGATGGAGATTGGAGAGGAAAATACCATCAGAAGTCAGCTGAGAGGAGGAAGGAGGACTCAGCAAGAAGAGACAACTACAGGGATTATAACTGCTGGATCGTTGTAGTCTTTTATCGGTGCCAGGACGTTCAGCATTTAGGTCATGTAGACTGGGCGCCAAAAATCACTTTGTTGGCGGGTCAAAAGGCGAAAGATAGAGAACTGTAAAGAGTGGATTAAATTGACAAGAAAAAGCTGGAGA